GGGAACTGATGGACAACAAGCTGTCCTTTTAGGGCAGCAGTTTGTGAAACTTCGGGTTGATGGAAAACCAAGGACAGGTGCAGGAAATTCTGGTAGCAGACTTGGAGAGCAGGAAAGCACAAACAGAGTGAAGTTTAGGAGGAATTTGGAGAAGGTAGACCTAGCAAAGCTGCTAGGGAGGAGGCGAATAGGTGGACAGGTTTTGGAATTATTTCCAACTTGAGGGGGCTGAATTTTGTGGACATAAATTGAGGTGGGCCTTGGAGATTTCGGCCAAGAGAAGGGGAGGGAGTTTGAATTGTTTCCAAGAGAGGAGTTAGGAAACAAATCCAATTCAAACTCCTAAGGGGGGCGACGGCTTATAGAGGGAGGGAGGGATTTAATGGGGTAATTAATGCTTACTTAAATTATTAAATCAAGTTTGGAAAGAAATATCCCATCCTCTTTTAATTTAAAATTTAAATAGGAGTTGATTGAGTAGGTTTCCTAAAATAAGACTTATAAATTAGGTAACTATTTCAAATTCAAATTGGTTTGAAATTAATCAATAAAAGAGTTACAAAATTTATGAAATCTAATTTAGGAAAGATTTGATGGCAAGTGGGGATGGAGGGAGGGGCCAAGGGGAGGCTGGCGGTGGGGATTGGCTGAGGATGGGGTGGCGGTTTGGGTTTAGGCGGCGGGTGGTGGTGGGGTTTAAATGGCCGGCGGTTAAGGGTTTGTGGAAAGGAGAAGTAGTGCCGGTGGCAGTGGTGGGAGGAGGAAGGGGAAGAGATAGAAAGTAGAACCATGAACCCGACTCGTCTAGGTTGGTGGGTGATGCGCAATTCTCCCTCTCCTAGGGATCTCACTCCGATCTCTCAAGCTCTCATAAGAACTCAAACAAAGAGAAAAATTTTTCTTAATCAATCATTCATTCATTAACTTGAAAAGAAGAACAATAGGGCTATAAATAGCCTCGTACAAAGACTCAAAAAATAAAAGACCACAATGCCCCTAGGACTTACATGCGACCTCCAGTAATAAAAGAGTAAAACGGGAAAGCAAGAAACACATAAATAATAAAAGCTACATAACCTAATAAAGAAAAACAAATACATGAAATGACTCAAAAATACATAGACTCAATCGTGACTGTAGATCGACGGTCACACCTCTGATATACTTTCCATGCTCTGATGCCCCCATCACCTACTCTCTTGCCTTGACCTAAAATCATTTAACCACATATAATGAGCTCACAAGTCCAACAAGCAACCAAATCTTGTAACTGAACTCAACACAAGGCAAACGAGTAATATGAATGTCAGCAGTCAAATCATAACAGTAGCAAGCACATGATTATAGGGCAATACAATAAAAAAATCGTTAAATCAGTTTATGTATTGAATCACTAAAAAAAATCATCGTATCAATACTACAATCAGTAGAGAAATCATATAAAACATCAAATTAAAACATTAATAAAGACTGTCAAAATTATGTCAATATAGTAAAATCATATAAAAACGTCTGTATTTGTATATCACATGTTCAGAAATATCATATCAGTGTTAACTCAGTGTTAGTACCCAATGCATATATTCAATATATATCACGTGATCAATATATTAATAATAGTATAACAGTAATAACATCAGCATCATGGGTGAAAGTAACAGTAAAGCCGTATAGTGATAGTGATTCAATAACATGCATTCTAATAATCATATTAAACAAATAAGTCCTGGCTAAAGTAGTGTTTCTTTAGTATTAGTGTCAATATTAATAATCTGTTGGTTTAGTAAACAGAGTCGTCAATCATCTCCTTATAACTCCAAATCAGTATCACGTGAATCAGTAGAAGATAACATCCGACCACAATATTTAAAGAAAAATTTGTCGATCCATCATTCTATACAAGTCAATCAGTCTCGAGCTAATGTCAGTGAATAACAAGTCTTTAGTTGTTCCCACCCCCCTCCCCCCAACACACACACATATTATTATTTACACTCATTTTCAATGCATTGTAGTAAATAAAGTATAATTAAGCTTAATTCAAAAAAATGTCAAGATGTCATAACGGTAGGCAACAAAACTCTACTGAGCAAAAATTTATATTTTCAGAAATTAATTAAATTAGCAGAGAAAGTGTAAAACATCATTTTGAAGCTTTAATAGAACTGAAATACTATTTTTAGATATTAAAATAAAATTTTTAGTTGGAAAAAATTGCTATTTTTTTAAATATTCCGGCAAAAATTCTTAAATAAATACTCAAAACATTCATAATCTCTATCTGTATAACATATAAAAAGTTACGCAGTAAAAGTTTTACCAAAACAAAATTATTCTCATTTTAGGGTACTTGAAACAGAAATTTGATTGAAAAAATAAAAACATATCAAATTATTGAAATTAGAAATAGGATAAAGGTTCCTTACAGCAAGACGAACAAATTTTCCAATTATGTCGACAGATGAAAATCGCTTAACGACCTCCAAACCCTATGATTTTCTCTCTTATCTTTTTCTCTTTAATTCTCCTAAGACTTCTTTGTTAGCCAAATCATAAAGAGAAAAAATTAATAAAAGTTATATAATGGTTTAAGATATTTAAAATAAAATATTAATGAAATATTTATATTACTATTTAATTTAATCAATTTTTCAATATAAATTTCATATAAATTTTTTTAGGGTTTTAAAATTATAAAAAATGTCCATAAAATAAATCATTTTATTTAAAAAATATTGATGAAATTTGTTTGCAAAATGGATACCTAACGGTCCAAAAATCCTCACTTTTACCAACAAATGTCAATTTCTTAAGGATTTTCACCAGTGTCTAAAAATTATGAAAAAAGTTGTGTAATTAAAACACAATAATAACTATCTTATGGCGAAGATGATTTTTTTTAATTTGATTTATAATGACTCTTGAAAAAAAAATATTTTTTTGGGTTATTATATAAGCTCTGGTTAGGTCATCCCATACACCATCTCTAAGCCATAAGGGGCGCTCGCTAGACTTTCTAATATTAGTGAACATATCCTTTAGTCGAGTAGAGTCTCTTTTTTTTTAAATTACTTTTGACCCTTGCATTATGTTTAGGTAACCACTTAAAGTCTTTCTTTTTAACTTTGTTAGAATCAAAGATATTATTATGAAATTATTTAAACTTGTTAAAAAATATCATAATTATTTACCTGAAACTCCTTGAACCACATATCTCTAATCTCCTGAGAGTTTTTTTTTTTCAAGATAAGTATGAAGCATCATATCTACTCCTTATGATGTCCTAAATCTTGTGAGTGGGTTGTCTTGCGAGATTAAACATACACATACTAATATTTTTCAGATCATCTTTCTCATTTATTTAACATATCAAATTGCAAAATTAACTAGCAATATGAACTTACATATTGCCCTCAGGCTCTATATGTACTGACGCTTATCCTCTGTATCTGCTAGCTCCTCAGCCCTATACTTTGTTGGTGCAGATGTTCCAGCTTGATGTGGCTGGACGAGAGGTGGATAATATTAAGACTGATGGTAAAGAAGATAAGGGTAGGTTGATGGAACTGTTTGTGATGGTGGTGGGGGGAAATTTGGATAAAAGGATATTGATTGGGTGGGATCTGGCGATGGAAACTGGAGGTTACTGCCAGTAGGAGAAGGATAGTGAGCCCCATGTGGTGGTACTCCTACGAGCGTTGGAAATGTTTGGCACTACCCCTGCTTAGTGGGAGAATGATAGATAGTCCCCAGGGTGCTACTCTTATGCCCGGTGGAATTGTCTGCCCCTGGTTATAATTGAATGGAAATAATAGGAAGAGTATACTAATTTATGACATTTCATTAATTTTTTTTTTCAAATTCATTTTTTTTTCTTTTCATCAACTTATATCTGTAAGGTATTATGCCATAAATTTATACAAGTACAAGGTTAAGGTGTTCACTTTCTATTAAATCACAAGCAAAGGTGGTCCAAATGTTTAGTTATTACTCAGGAATGCTTAAGAATTTATTTGGGGATTGATCACACCATCATGAGAGCATTGACTTTGTAAGATTAAAGTAAAATAAATTTCAGTCAAATATAATTATTTTAGATTGTATATATAATCTCGATTCTCACTTAAAGCTGTGCTTTCACGTTTGATTCTTTATGATTGCAACCAAATTCGAAAAAATAAAGTAATAATGATAGCTTAATTAAAAGTAATTGAGCTTTAGGTCCATTCACATTTAATTTTTTAAAATGATGGTCATCTTATTCACACTTACTAAACCCTAATGCAACCATAAAAAAGGGGAAAATATCAATAGTTTCATGTATTCCACAACAAAAAAGAAATGAAGATATGTGAGTACCTAATAAACTTGCATTGCTTATTATGCTAAAATGAAATGATCAAAATTTGAAGTGGGAAAAATATCTCTAACCATGAATATGAACATTGCATGTGTTCTAACGGTTCAAATTTCCTAAAAAGATAAATGAGCAAATAGAACAAGTTTTATCTCTTAAATCTCGAAGAAATATGGAGAAATGAGCAATAAACCACCTGGAACGGTGACGAGCATCGGAGCAGGTGATAGCTTTGATTTTGGGAAGAAGAACGTGAAAATGAAGGAAGAAGACGGGTTGGGACGAAATGGGTCTCTTAACGACGGAGAAATATGTTGGAAATTAAGTAAATTTTTTTACGACGATTTCGGACGTAAAAAACACCGAGTGCACTAATCACCGATGAAAAATTACGGCGGGAATTTCTGCCGGTAAATCCCTTATTTCCTGTAGTGTTAGGAATTGTATTATCTCACATCCTTTCAAGCAGCTGCTTCTTTTATATTTATTCTTGAGTTATCCCTTTTATACTTATGCTTTGCTGATACATTTGGTGATTGCTTTCATTGTTTTATGTAGTTTTCAAATGTATTTCAATGCTTATTTTGTTAGATTGGTATAAAGGATAACCAGTTATATGGCTTTTTTATTTGCTTTCTCTCAGATGTTCCTCCTACTGTGGCCGAAACGAAGTTAAAATTTTTGAAATCATACAAGCGGCCAATACCAAGCATATACAATAATGTCTTGCAAGAGCTTCTCGTCCAGCAGCACTTGATGAGATACAAGAGAACCTATCAGTATGATGCTGTCTATGCACCCGGCTTTGTCACCATCTATGAACAGCTGATGGAAGGATATCCTAGTCTTGAAGATCAAGACGCTATTTTTAGAGGCTATATTGAGTCCCTAAGAGAGGATCCAGAACAGTACAGGTTTTTCATATTAGACTTGGATCATCTTGACTATGCCATAAAATGGGCTTATTACGCAGCATAAGATGCATGAATTATTCTGGATTTTAGCTTCTATTATTTAACTAATAACTTTTTAAAGAAATTTTTGCAGATGCGGAAAGAGTGTTCTATTGAGTTGCTTATTATGAACGGACATCCTTAAACTAGCTTTGTTTATTGCCATAAAATTTTCGTAGTATTAACTGAACGGGCTTCAGAAAAATATGAATAATTTTATGACTATTAATAAGCGTTTCTATATGACAATATACCAAATGACTGGAACAGAAATTGACTTCATTAGATTTGACATGATGATTATGGTTGTTTTGTATGCCTATTTCTATATTCTTTGTTTAGGATTTTAATATTTTTCAGGTAAGCTACATAGCCTTTTTATACTAGATACATACTCTTTCCACTACAGAGATGATGCAAAGAAGCTGGAAGAGTGGGGTCGTTCACAAGATACTACTACATTAGTTGATTTCTCATCAAGTGGAGGGGATGTTGAAAATATTCTAAAAGACATCGCTGACAGAGTCCAAGGTACGGGGAATTTCACCTATAGTCGATTCTTTGCGGTTGGAATATTTCGCCTACTTGAGCTGGCAAATGCAGCTGAACCATCAGTATTGGAGAAGGTTATTATTTGAACTTGTGATAACTTTATTGCGCTAGTGCTCTTTTATAAGTTAATTTTTTTTCTTTTTACAATCTACAAGAAAATTTTCTTTTGCTTTGCTGCTCAAGCTTTTCAGTAGCTATTGCTTTTCGACTGTCCCATCTCATAGATTATCATGATAAACCGCATTTTCTTTCCCTAGAACATTTAGCTTATCATTTAGGTCCTTCTAGATTTACTGAAGCTTTCAACATTTATTTTTTCCCTGTTCCGAAAAGTTCAATCCCATGTCCTATTGTTTGCATGCTAAATGTAAGTTTGTCATCAATTAGTCTTGTCCCAATTATTCTATTAAAGTTTGTAAAAATCAGACTAGACATTGACGGTGGTCGGAAATACCGTAGTTGAATGACGGTGGTCAAAAGGATCGTAATCGGTAGGCGACGAAGGTCAGAAAGACTGTTGTTAGGCAATGGAGGTTGGAAGGATCATATACAGCCGGCGACGGAGGTCGGAAAGACCGTTGTTTGGCGACGGAGATCAGAATGATCATAGTCGGCAGACGATAGTGGTCAGAAAGAACGTTGTCTGGCGACGTAGGTCGGAAGGACCGTAGTTGGCAGGCGACATTGGTCAGAATGATAGTTGTATATCGACGGAGCTTGGAAGGACCATAGTCAGCGGGAGATAGAGATCAGAAAGACCATTGCCTGGAGGTTGGAAGGACTGTAGTCGGTGGACGACAGTGGTCAGAAAGACCGTTGTCTGGTGACAAAGATTATAAGGACCATAGTCGATGGGCAACGGAAGTTGGAAGGACCGTAGTCGGCGGGTGACAATGGTCAGAAAGACAATTATTGAGCGACGAAGGTCAGAAAGACCTTAGTCTGGTGATAAAGATTGGAAGAACCGTAGTCGGCGGACGATAGTGGTCAAAAAGTCCGTTGTCTGGCGACGAAGGTTTGAAAGACTGTATTCTAGTGACGGAGGTCGAAAGAACTATAGTCGGCGAGAGACAATGGTCTCTGGTCAGAAAGATCCTAGTCTGGCAACGGAGGTCGGAAGGATCGTAGTTAGCGGACAACAATGGTCAGAAAAACTGTTGTCTGACAACGGAGGTTGGTCTCCATCATCAGGATCATAGTTGACGGGCGACAGAGGTTGGAAGCAATGTAGTCATCAGGCAAAAGGTCGGAAAGATCATATATAGTCAGTGGCCGGGTGTAAATCCAACGTCAGTTTATGGCCGAGCGGAAGTCCGGCATTAGTCGATAGCATGGCGAAAGTCTGGTGTCAGTCAGTGACTGGGCTGAAGTCCGGCGTTAGTCGACGACCAGACGGAAGTTCGTCGTCAGTCAGTGGCTGGGCTAAAGTTTGCCATCAATCGGGCATTAGTCGATGGTCCGACGTTGATCGAGGAGTCTGATGGCAAGATAACTATAATTTCTCTCTCTTCCTTCTCTTCATTGTTTGGTTCCCCTTCCATAAGGAATGAGAGATCTATTTATAGTTTTCTGATAATGGCATGACCAGTAAATAGGAAGGAGATCAAGGGAAAGTTGGGAGTGGTTTGAATGAACGGCCAATATTGATCCCTTTGATCTTGAACCGTTTACTGGGTATTTGAATGTCTTAGTGATATCATAATTCGACGATCTTAGGCTCGTTGGATTCTTCTCGTCGAGCCGCTTGATTCGACTATAAGCATGTCACGTTTGGAATTCGTTTGATAATCCAAATTATGATTTGAACCTTCCAAAGACACTTTGAGTCATCGATTTGTATCCATTTGGGCTCGAATTGAGCCGGATTTGGTGTTGTTGGGTTCTCCTTTTCGAGACGTTCAGTTAGACTGTAAGTTTGCTGAGATCAAAGTTCACATGGTTATGAATTTAATTTCGGAAGCTTTCAACTTGATTTTGCATTGAGATTCATGCCAGATCTCGATAATTTTTTTATGATATATCAAGGTTAAATCATTTATCCTTAATAAATAGATAAAAATTTTATTTTTTTATAGTATACAATTAAATGGATAAAAAATTAAATATTATTCACATAAAAAATTAATTTAAAATCTATTTAAAAATAGTAGTGTTTGTGTTGTAAATCTGAAAATTTAATTTAGTTATTTAATCTCATATCACTTGAAAATTTTCTCTTAGTATTATTTATGTTGCATTTTTGTTTTGTATAAGGAGCTTAGATAAGGTGATAGGGCCATATGAGAATGTTGTGTTGGTACTTTTTTGACAAATGATAATTGAAGCATTTAGTGCTCTTTAGAAAATTTAAATTAATTTGTTAAATTTAATATTATATATAATATTTTTTAAAATTTATTAAAGTGATTTATTTAATTATTTAAACAAAAAAAATAATTTAAAATGTGGGGGTGATGGTAAAGGAAATGCTCCAGAGTGGATTGATGTATATTCTATAGAGGAAGTGAAATAAAGATGGAGAAATGGGTGTGCGCTACTAAAAAACATTCCCTTAGGAGATCTTCGTGGAATTTAGCTGAGGATGGGTTTTTGGATGATAAATGCAAATTGGAGCACCAAAACTCATGAGGGAAATTTAGATAAGGATGAGTTTTGATAAGGGTGGATCTTTAACCTTTGGGTTTGCATCTCAGGAATGAATACAAATCCATAAAACTAAAACCCATGGATTGCATGTGTACCCTTTGAAATCCATCCATTTCCGCATGCGTTCAACCCAATCCAAATCGAAAGGCTAAAAACCCATCATTATTGAATTTTCCTCGGGATTTCTGAGATTTTTCTTTTCTGTGCTACTTATTTGTTTGATATTTGTTTGCAGAAGACAGATATGTTAGTTTTACAAGATCAGCATCATAGGCTTGGAAATAATGTTTGCATCTATTAGGAACTGATACTCTTTGATAATCGAAATTTCATGCTACGATTTAACCTTGATGTGTTGTGTGATTTGTCGGCCATCAAGTCAGAGCTTTCTTTTGACAATTTTGTGCAGCTTTAAAAATAAACAAAAGAAGTGTGGATAGAGACCTTGATGTTTACCGCAATCTTCTGTCAAAGTTAGTTCAGGCGAAGGAGCTTCTCAATGAATATGTGGATAGGTAAGAATCTTTTTTTTTACCAAATGGAAATAAAAGGAAAAATGATAATATTATGCTTATACTGAATGTAAGGAAATATGCTCATCTTAAATTTTGAGAAATTAGAGAAATTAAGGTTTCCTCTTTGATGCAAGGTGGTTGATGTGGTGGCATTGTCAATGCCTGCAAAGCATGTTTTCTATACTGTTGAATGTTTTGACACATTTGCTCTGATCTATCTTTCTTATTTTGCCCTTAGTTTATGCTCAATAATTACTCAATTGTAGAATGATATGCAATGAGAGTTGTAATCAACAATAATCAAATTTTGCAGGGAAAAAAAGAAAAGAGAAGAAATGGCAGAATCCCAAAAGGCTAAGGAAGCCATTACTGGTTGCGTCGGAGATTACTAATAGGTAAAGAGTAGCTTCACTGTACTTGCACCTTAAATTATTGCAAATGCTTGGTTGAGAAAGCTGCAACCTGATTTGTTTCTTGACCCCTAGCCATCTATAACACATTTCACGCCATAGATGACATGATGTGTTTTGTTTTCAATAAAGAAATGCATATGAAGAGCACACAACATTTTCGGCCTGATTGAATTCTCCTGTATTATACTTTACAGATTGTAATGCCCTATTAAAGCAGATTCTCATCTATCATGAAGTCTAATTTTGCTAAAACCCTATAATCTTACTACTATACTTTCCTGGAGCTTGTTAGGTACTCTTTGTTGCCTTCAAACTTTCTATTGGTTTATTTTTCCTTAGAAGCTGAAAAAAAAAAAAAATCGTGCAGTTCTCAAGTATTCCATATCTTGCTGATCACATTTCAAGCCATTTAGGAAGATAACTCTCATGCTGCATTGCTGCTGGTTGAGGATTAATTTGATCTTAATATGTTTCTCTGTCGTCTTATGTCTATTATTCAGCTGCCTCTGCTTATTGTTGTTCCTATTAAATCATTCGCCCAAGTTGTGAATTGCTTGTCCTGCAATTCTTTCGATGCCAAAACCCTTCATGCAAGTGGTTTTCAGTTATCTCCCTTCCTTATTTTGGATTGGGTTTAGGGTTTGAAGGTAAACCCTCTGTTGTATCCAGTAGGGATGTGATCTCTATTGTGGCTAAGCCATTCAAATTTGATTTGGTTCAGAAACTTTCATCTTGTCATCTGTTTAAAGACCTCCCCGCTGAAGTGAATTCGGTCACTGATGCTCTCTCTCTCTCTCTTTCTCTCTCTCTCTAGGAATCCCAATCTACAGACAATCTGACTGTGGCCAACGCTATAACTTAAGATTCCGTTTTGATTACCCTTGCCTGTACTTATCTTGATCATGTTGAGGAGTTAAAACTTGTATGTTTTTTATTTGTGTGCTTCTGCACCTCCTGCCTGTGACAGTGGCTCTTTGGATGTCCTTATCACACCCCCGGTTAAGGATAAATAAACTTGTTTTGTGCTCAAAAGAAAAAAAAAATTATATACAAGTAATATAGCAGAACATATCAAAGTAAATAACGAAAAAAAAAGAGAAATTTTATTTTATTGTTATAAATCAAATTGATTGTAAAAAATTTATTTCATTAAATATGAAATATGAATTCTGATTTAATTTTTAGATCTTAAACTGCTTATTTATGCAGCTTCAATATTGAAGAAGCTATTTTTATCCAGGATCATAAGTATTATTTTAGTTGAAGTATAATATTGTAACCAATATTTATGATGCTATAACTGATGCAAAGGACATATGAACTTTGTTACATTTTACACAACATAGGATAAAGAAAGTTCTCTTTCATAAAAATCTCAATTTTTTTTCTTTTTGGGTTAAAATACACGGAGAGGCTTACACATTAAATAAAAACGAGAATTACAGGTTCTTAAAGAACTATAACATCAGCTAAAAATATAGTCTTTGAAATAAAACCTAAGAGCTACTGGTTCTATCTATTATAAATAAACACTAGGGAGAATAAAACCTAAGAGCAACCAACAAAAGGAGCCACAGATAGGGAGAAGGATGAACAAACCGCCAACCAGTAGGAAGAGGAGTCACCAAGGAAACTTCAAGAATACATGCAATATAAGGAAAGAATCAAAACCATTAGGCATCCGGCCGAATTAGCCAAGATCCATCATAAAACAACCCACACAAATAAAAAATAAAATCCAAACGCCTCATACCAACCCCCAAAATCCCTAGTAAGATAACAAAAACAACACAAGGCAACAACCAACAAAGGCCCAAAGAACTCCGAGCACCACATTGACACAAGACCCAACAGCCAAAAGACAAGAAAAATCCAAGCAAAAAAGAGAGCAAAATCCTAACAGCATATCAATTCTTTTTGGATTTTCTCTGTTTAGGTTTGCTAGTTGTTTTAAAATAAACGTCATCAGCAATTTGAATCACATTAAGATCATAGAATTCCTTGGAGTGCACCCCATGCACATCCCTCACTTCCCTAACAGCCCAATTAGATGCAGAATTACAATCTTCAAGCCAGTCGCCTTGAACCACCTCATACCCCTTCGAATTAGCAGCTAATTGAGCTAACAAAACATCGTTAGCAATAAGGGAAATAGACGCATCAAAGAGAGGAACAGTGATTTCATCATTTGAAATAGCATGCTTAGCACCATCTGATGCAACAACACTATTAATAGCCAAAGTGTCAACTCCAGCCCCAACATTAACATGTAAGCTCGAATCCAAAGTAACAGAAGGACTAACAACATCCCCGATCACAGGCCCCACAGGAGTAGAACAATCATTAACCACCAACGCATAAATTGGTGAACCAGGCAACCCAGAAGCTACGATACCCTCACCAGTAGCTTCACCATCCCCATAAACCAAAGAACTAGAACTATCACCCAAAGCTGCCACAACATCAGCACAAATAGGGCTAGCTACAAGATTAATGCAACAATTATTATCATTCATGTTTCCATCCAGACCTTCTCTATTAGCATTCATAAGCAGCATATAAGGACCAGCTTCCTCCTCAACAGAAACGGATTCACCTAAAGGTAAAACATAAGTCAATTGAGAGACATCATCCCCTGAAATTCCACCAACATTCTCGACTACAACATCACTAGGACCCAACTCCAAAACTCTATCATTTGCAACATAAGAATCGGCATTAACCACCCTATTGGTAATAGGCATGCAAAGAAGGAAGCAAGAAAGGGGTAGCACAATTAACCAAATTATCTAAGACACCAACATTGTTTCCCTCAAAGCTAACATTAACATTAATAGGTCTAGGAGCATGAGGAAGAGCAGTAGACGGGGCAGGAGACAGCTGAGGTCGGCAATCGCCCTTCACATGCCCTAAACATTTACAAGAACAATCTCATTTTTTGTTTTGAATACATGTGCCATTTAAGGTTTTCTTTGATGCCATTTTGTGTTTATATTGGTCACCTTGGCTCAAGCCATTTCTTTCAATTTGTAATAATAGCCAAATATTCTTCCGATCTTTTGCAACATCACAACTTGCTCCAGCTAAGTAATTGAAATGTGTACTGGAAAAGTTCTACGAGCTCATTTCATTTCTTCAAGTTAAAATCATATTTTGAAAAATGATAGAATTTATTTAATATGAGAGTGGAAAATAATGATTTCCATTTAATGCTCAAAATTAAATGACTGCTGAAAATAAAATTTTCATTTTTTGAAATATATTTCCTCTGCATGCCTACAAGCAACCAAGCATTTGAGCCCTTATAATGTTTTAGAAGAAGGCGTACGTATATGTGTCTTGACATGAGGAATCTCACTCCTACACCCTTCCTTAACTCTTTGGACTAATTTGGATCCTCTTCAAACCTCTTAAATGATTTAGTACTTCAGACTCTATTTAATTGAGAGAGAGAGAGAGAGAGAGGTTTAAGGAGCACTCAATTTAATTGTAAGAAGCCTTTCCTGAAATGGTAGGAAGGGGTACTTGAGAACATGCATGGGCAAGAGTGGGCTATACTAAATGATTTAGTACTTCAGACTCCATCTAGCTATATATTCTACAGCTATATATCCAGCGAAGCCACCTGATCTGCATGAAGCAAACTTAATTAATTTATCCAAAAAAAAAGCACCAGTTTACGTAGAATCTGCTCAATTATCAATTGATTAATTTATTGTCCCAGTTGGGAAAAGAAGAGGAGTAAACATCATAATAACGAAACAACAAGCAAGAAAGTAAATGCAACGGAAAGTAAATGACACAATTATGCCTGAATGAGGAGCATCATTCATTTTTATGTATGGCAGAGAATTATCTTTATATGATAAGTATGCACGAACGTATTTTGGCGGCATATATTTATCGTCCCTTACAAGTGTCAGTTATTCCACTCACATATATATATAATGCAGTTGATTTATGTGTTATTATGTGAGTATACTGATTTTTGATAGAATTAATTAAATTTTGATAGATATATTGCAGCTATAGACTATGTCAAAAGTATTACATAAATATGTCTATATCATTAGCAACTTGATATGTATTCTCTATTAGATTTAGCAGCCACATATGTTCCACTTGTAACATTGCTTGACAACTCAATTGAAAAGGACAGAACCCCTTAATTGCCTGTCGAAATATAATTGGCATTTAGCATAATTAAGATGTGTACGTTATTGCCTTATTTCTCTTTCTATGTTGTAAATTAATTAGGGTCTTCTTGCTAAAATTCTAAGTTATTCTGTGACGAGGACAAGCATAATTAAGCTCCTAATTACTTTCAAAGAAAATAAACTTCCTATAGTATCAATTTAGAAATTGTCTTTTTTCTTAGTAGCAGGACAATGACTTGTGTTATTGTTGTTTAACAGCCTGTGCAAGCCGTCAATGATGCTTGCTTCTAGAAGGGAAAAAAAATTATCAAATATGATATTTTCATCAAAACATTTTAATCTATGTGAATTTTAATTATTTTTTTATTTATTTTAAGATGATTACAATACATAATTTAAATCCATCATAAATAAATTTTGGCTAAGATTTCACCATTATTTTTTTCTTTCTGATAGCTGAAAAAAATTTTTGTAGGACTAAAAATCTAAAAGAAAATCATGCAGGGAAATATCTCATCAATTTCTCAAACCACGCAATAAAAAAAAGTACATATTAAAAAAAGTCGGGGGACTTGAATTTTTGCAAAAGATGTTAAGGTTTGGAGGAAGTGGACGATTTGCAAGATGTGTGTTCTAATAATGATCACATACAGAAGCTATGTATGAAAGCAGTTTTTTGCTATAGCTCTTAATTCTTCCATGCTGACGTCTCAGATTAGATAAAATTCTAAAGGAAGCAGTTAGAAATTCAATTGCAATTTGCAATGCTGCCACAGTATATATATACATAGAAACAGACCCCTTTATTTATTTTCCATAAGCGAATTGGACTTTGGTTGGCCACCAATTGCATGTTGAAGGTAGCACATGAATTGAGTTCAGATATTTTGATCAAAATTTTATTAAAAAAAAAAAATTAATGCTGTTTGCCTAACAATTTAATTTATTCTTTGGTCCATTTCATTGAAGAAATAATTTTCGATAATATCAAAATATATAATAAAATTCGTTAGTAAATTTATGACAATATCAGCATTTTATTTATTGCAGAAGATTATTTCTAAATTTAATAATTATCAAGAAATTATAAAAACA